TTCAAATAGCGACCTGGGAAAGGATGAAAAATAAAAAGTTTACAATGCGCTGTCACCTTTAGAGAAAGAGAATTCCTGATGGAAATTTCACGTACTGTTCACATTAATAAGAGAAGAATCCATTTACATTCTTGGAAGAAACTAAATCGTCGCTTTTAAACTCTCCCTTTGACTAGAGTTGTTTCAAGGTTGAAGGCACTCATCTACTGTAGGGTGTTGATTTACGAGAAATTTGCGAACTGAAAGGTCGCGCGAAACACAGAAGAGATTCTTATCTAAACGGAATACATGACGCGACATGGTCACTATCCCGTTGGACGCCAAATACGCAGCGACACATGTATCGTAGCATCAATGGATAGGAGGAATCGCTCGCTGAGAACTGAATCTAACACCAAAAGTTGATACAGTAACTGTGAGGATGACTGACATATAAGGTCGTGACCTATTACAGCGAGCATTCGCTCGACTGAGGTGGTGCTGCTCATTGCGTCACCGCCTCGGGATTGCATTTCTTAATTGACGAGTTGCTGATATTATCATAGCCTCATTTGGAGGTCACAAATTACTTGTAAACAGGTCAGGGTACCCTTGCTAACTCGTGATGGCAAGAAATGATAAAATATCTCTTAAGAATCATCGTATTTGTTTATCTCTTAACAACAAGTGACGATTGGAAATCTTGAAGCGATTTCTGAAGCTCCTTTCGTTAATTCTAGAAATTCATTCAGTCTCTCTAGAAATGAAAGGTGCTTTTTTAGGCAACACTCGGAATTTCGAAAAAAAATCAACTTTTTATGCGCACGAGTTCCTTAAGAGAACATAGAATGGATAGAGTTGTGTTCCTGGGAAATCAATAAGCAAGAAATCAGTATTGCTTCCTTGAAATTAGCTCACTAAAAATGATCCACTTCTCAAGCTTTTTTAGAACGCAATCGAAGAAGTTAGTTGTACAACAGAAGAAAAGATTGTTATCACAAAAAACTGGATGTTGCTGTGTGTTCCATTGAAAGTAAACCTCCTCAACGTAAAACGCTTTACTTCGAGTCTCAGTCCAACTACGGTGTGTCCAAAACCTGTTCAGGGCGCAGAGAGCATGTGGGTTGCGTAGAGTGCAGCTGCAGCGGCTCTGTCGCTACCGTATATTGGCGATGTCAACTGAGTGTAAACTAACACACGACGAAGTGTCATAATCTTTCCTGGTCGAACATATCTGATAGCGCGCGGTGAAAGGAACATGATGATGAACGGTCGTTGATAAAGTGATAAGCGAGGTAATTGATGTTGATAGGGCGCACGTGGCCAAGTCTCCAAATTTAAGAGCACAAAAGAACGTCGCTTACCTGTCGCTTTTTCGGCTTCACCAACGGCCTATTCTGGCCATTCATCTTGTGATAGAGGCCACAGGCATTGCAGAGGTAATGACCAGTACCATCTCGCCTCCACAAGGGGGTGGCCTGAACTCCACAGTTCACGCATTCTCGTCCTTCAGCTGAAAAAAAATGAAGTTTACCCAGCGAAATCGAGCAAAAATGAATTCGGTGCAATAATAAGTCCACAATCACGCATAAACACATAAACAACGTTCAACAAAAGGGTTTCTACAACATGCACGGTTTATCAAAATGAAATAGAAAGGTTATTTCATATCAGAACTGTAATAAAAGTTCGACATCGACGTTAGATCTGTCCAAACATTTCTTTCATTCTAACCACTTCTCTTTATATTAGTCGGCCGCTATAGCATATGCTACCAAAAACCGTAGTCAGATGATGCTTGAAAATTATGATTGATTGCAGATATGTGTAATGGTTGATTATGCTCGAGTTTTAGTGCACTTTAATGTTATAAAAGTCTATTATTCTAAAATTTTTGAGTCAGTTTGTAAAAGAAGAAACATGTGTATTATACCGAAAAAATCCTTAAAGAAAAATCTTCTCGATTATCAGACATTTAATCAACTTCTTTCTCTAGAATAATTCAATCTTTTAGCTCATTTTTTCACACCCACACTAAAACTAGCATTCAGGACTAGACGTGCATCAGCTGAACGCACATGCGGTGGTTCGGGCCTTACTCCGTGTTGCATTCGTTGACTGTGCCGAACCGTTTGAACTTGACGACGAGGTACTGGTTGAACACGCGGCGCCAGCGGCTGGCGCAGAACCAGGAACTCTTGGTATTAACGGAGACGAGTAATCGTAAGTTGGATAGTTGAATGTCGACCCGTAGAAAGGTGCACTGCTCGTATTCTGCCCTGGAATGAGGCAAAAATCAGGTTAATGCTTAGCGGCGAGGAACATTGAGGTGAACATTACAGTCATAGCCAGTGTTCGCCAATCTTTGGGTCAGACAACCCCGTTGATTGATTGAAAACTTGAGCACTACATTTTGAAATTGGGAATGACCCAATTTAGAGGAAACAATTGAGAAATATTGATAGGTTGAGATTCTATCTTGATAAGACTTACCAAGCATTGATGGATCCATCATTTGGTTGAACGAAGCTTCGCCCGTGGAACATGCCGCCGTCGTTGCTGGTAAGGTGTACGGTTGATACATGGTGGGATTAATGATGTAGCCAGCTG